GCGTCCGCCATGGCTGTGGCTATGGGTTCCAACCGCCGCAACGATTGCACACCAGCGGTCGTGGACGAATCTAGACCAAACTTCAACAGCCGCATCATCGCCTCACTCATTACGTCGAAGTTGTCTGCAATATACGACGTGCGGGCAACCCCCACGGGCCGGAAGCTCTTGACGTCGAAAGACGAAATCCCACGCATCTCAGCGAGGACGTCGCCCGTGACGTGAACGATATCGCCCATCAAACCCTGCAGGTCCTCCTTCTGTGGCCCGGGCTCCGGCCCCCGCTNCCGCCCGCGCCCCCGCCCCACGGCGACGACGCCGGCACCAGACCGAGGCCTCCCGAGCCCCCGGGCCCACGACTCCCATCCTGCCCCGACTCCGGCCGGAGGTTCTTCAGCAACCCAGCGATCTCGGTAAGCTGCGCCACAATGTTCGTCTGGCCTTGTTCCAGACGAGTGTTTTTTTTCGCATTCTCAGACGCGAGCGGGGTGCCCTCGCTGGGCTCCCCCCCCCCCGCAGCACCCACCGACATATGGGCCAAACGAGACATGACGTGGGCCTGGACTTGGTCATCCGCACGCCCGAGCTCCGGCTGGCGGTCCCCGCTGGAAGCCAAGGCCCGAGCATGACTTTGCGTCGGAAACCCACTGCTCTCGGCAACACCAACATCTGCGGATGATTGCGTTGTTGAAGCCACGTCACCTGCTGGTGAATCCACGCCATCGGCAGCAGCCCTCGCGGCCGCCGCAATAGCGCCCGCCACAACCTGAGACGGAGGAAATGAACCCCCTCCCGTCCCCAACGCCGACTCGACCTGACCGCCAGTAGATCCTTCACTGCGGACGACACCAAGGCGCTCTTCCGTCTCCGGCGACTTGTGCTCGGATGACATGGCCCAAATTTGATGCAACCGAGAGCCCCCAAGATTCAAACCTCCCGTTCCAACCGATATGTGAATGCCCCCAGCAGCCCGCGCCAAGTAGATCTCCTCCAANAAGGTCCTTCACTGCGGACGACACCAGGCGTTCCTCCGTCTCCGGCGACTTGTGCTCGGATGACATGGCCCAAATATGATGCAATCGAGAGCCACCAAGATTCAAACCCCCAGTTCCAACCGATAGATGAATGCCCCCAGATGCCCGCGCCACACGACCCTCACGATCTCCTGCCCGCGGGAAGAGAGCAGCACAAAGAAATAGATCTCCTCCGACATATCTCTTGGCTGCAGCAGCCTCCCTCGTGCTTCCTTGGGGCAGACCAACAAGTGCTCCCAAGTCTACTCTTCTGGTCAGGTTTCAGACACGTCATGCTGACTCCATGCTGCTGCTCTCTGATTGGCCAACAGATATTTCATCTTCCGCTCCTCACAAAACTCAGATTTCAACGCCTCTGTCTCTGCAATCTTCTGCTTTCACGTCCCAACTTTTTTTTTTGCGAAAGTTATCGCACAAAACGTGAATGGAAAAATTGTCCCGGACGGACCATATATGACCACGGTGCTATAGTCATATTCCATTGACGAGGCACATGGCTTTGTTCGGCCATGCATCGCCCTCGTGTGACGAGCTAGCCAGCCTTTTCACTGGCGACCAGAGGCCGCAGCATGCCAAGACGAATAGCGACCAGGCTGATTTCATTCCCTTCGTAACCAAGGCACCAAGGCAAGCAGCTATACTATCTATAGATGCTCGGACTCGGGGCATAGCAACCACACCGGTCGCCCCGGTGGTCTAGTTCGTATCCCCGAAACCTCCTAGAGGTCAGGTCAGGGGTTCGAATCCCGGCGTAAGCGAGATTTTCTTGCGAAGTGAGTTTTTGTCTCGCTTCCGCTCCTGGCCTAGTGGATAGCGCTAGTTCGTGTGTACACAGAGGGAAGAGAGTGCTGGACTCTTCTCGCATTAAACATCGAAGGAAAAGTACCGCAGGTGGGGAGGGTACAGAGGGGCTCTTCTGCTGTGTGACCACGGGTTGGAGTAAACGGCACCAGTGCTGTGAGCGCTGATTTGAAGTAAGAAAAGAAAAAAAACGCCGCGAGCTCGACCCGCCGCGCGGCACTGCTGCAGCGGCAAGACGAGCTTCTACACGGCGCGCGTGGAGAAGAGAGAGCAACATTCCGGCGGCGTTGCTGCTTAGGTAAGCGATTCCCCGCGCAGGAAGGATGAATTGAGGGAACATTGTGTGTTGTGTAGTTGTGTACCCCTTCTATGCATATGTATGTCCCCGTTGAGAAAGGCTCGAACTTCCACGTGCAGTAGATGCATGTACGCTCAGACACCAGCAGTTGGTCCTGTACACCCAACGGCTCTCGGCCTACTGCGTGCTCTTCCCCACCATGTTCAGAGCGGGGATTCTCCCGGAGGCGTCAATAAGCGCCTAGCCTCATTAAAGAGCTCTATGGAGGGCGGGTAGGCCCTTCGTTACTTCTAACTTGTTTGTTTTGGAGGCGCTCGTTATTCTTTCAACGGTAACAACGTACGGTAACAACCCCGCATGTCTGCTCTATCTCCCCTGTCCACACACACGCATAGCATCGACCGCGTCGACCGTCCACGTGCTTCAGCCAACGCCCAGCCCTCACCACACCCAAAAATTTTAGATGGGTTGCTCGATTGACTAGCTAGACGACCCAACCGGGGTCACATACTCCCTCCCCTCGGCCTGCTCCCCGGCCCGGGCCGAAATCGACCTAGTGAGTCCCTCGCGGGCGAACCAGGCCACAACAGATAGTAGGCGGGTGGTGTCCCAGGTGCAACTCACCGCCGCGCTGGCTCAGCGTGGCGGTAAGGATGCACAGACGGTGGTAGTGGCGAGAGGTGTGTATGGACACTGTTCCCGCGGCAGTAATGCAAAGCGGCAAACTGCACCTGGCAACCACCGTCGCGGAAAGCGTGGCCCACGAAGCTGGAGGAGTAGAGAGATTCGTAAACACCACGTCAGTAAGCACCGCTCGCGGGGAAGGGAGACAACCGCGGGCACCGCGGGGAGGGAGTGCTGCACCCTCCTCGTCAAAACACCACAGGCAAGAACCGAGCTCTGCAGGGATGGATTGAGGCGAGGAAATTCGCCGCTCGGAAATACGGAAGAAAGAACACCCGCTACGCGAGGTGGACCGAGAGAGACACGAGACCGCAGCAGCCGTCAAGGCGGATGCGAAGAAGAAAGCACGAGAGGGCGACCTATCGTTCGGCACGTTCAACGTACGCACGCTCGCCTACAGCGGTAGGAACCCCATCGGTCACAACGTGATGACGGTCATGCAGATTTGTTCCGCGACCGGCTGTGATGTGATAGGACTTCAGGAGACCCGACGAGAGGGGCAAGGTTCAATTGCACACGACGGGTACGTGATCATCTGGAGTGGCGCCCGTGCTGGCACCAAGGACAAGAGGGGCGTACACGGTGTGGGCATAGCGATCAAGGAGGCCATGTGGGAGAGTGTGGGCGAGGAAGGTAGGACGGTGGAGTGCATTAGCCCGAGGCTGATGAAGGTGCGTCTACAAATTGGCCGC